TCTCACTTACATTTTATTTTATGACTTGTTAGCCGGGGGCTGCACAAAGCAATCAAAAGGTGTCTTGCCCATGGTTGACACCATGAGCCATGCTACACATATCAAATAACTAGACCGTATAGATTTATTTATTAGGCTGACATTCAATAATAAAATATCAAAATATTCCTTTTCAGCTGTATATTTTATCCCGTGGTGACAGTTGTTTAGCGAAATTAGTAGATGATCTACTTGCTGGATAAATTCTACAACGACGTAGATGTCGCCTATTTATCGGCTACATGAATGTAAGTTTTTACTGTAAGGACGTAGCTGCGTGTTTTCCAGGTGGCAGACTAAGATATCAAGCAACACAAGCCCAAATAGATTTCTAGTGGATACCTCATTCGGCTGTTCATTCATTGCGCCCCAAAACTTAAACTTGGCGTCATTCGTGCGCAAGCGCAATAGTGACTTTATGTGTGGAGCTGAAAACCCGCTCTTTCCTGCGGGTACGCATATTCCGTCATGAAACTCCTCTAGGAAAAATTTGGTGAATAACGACCACGTATTTTGTAACGCATGTGTTCCACTTATACGTTCAAATTTCGGGTTCTACTGAGAAATGCGAATGCATATTTTAGACAGCAACCAGCAGGTTAACGCCGAAAAGGTTGAAACTGTACCGCTAACCATTGTGCGCACTTTTGCTACATTGCGTACACACTGAAAGCATTAACGTGTGGATACACCTACTGTTATATTTTCAGAAGTATTGCACCAAGACATCCATCATTGCATAAACAAGGGCACTTGTACTTTGTCTAGTGAATTTTCAAACTGCTAATGTCTTTTCGTCCAAATCAAGAAAAGCTGGTTTATCTAAAATTATACATTTGAAGTTTGCATACTTGACTACGCGTTTTGTACGGGCTCAGATTGTTTTCCTACAATAATGCAGACAAATAATTGTTTTCAGCTTTCTACGGCGAGGGATTTTCACACGGCTCCTAAAGACATTTTCATGCTAATTTCCAATCTGAAACCGCTTATCATTTGTAAGCAACTAGTTTCCATATTTTTATGTTAGATTGATGGTAAATTAAATAGAAATCATTTTTTTAGATGTAACCATGCCATAAATGTGCTTATAAATCTGATGTATTTTGCTATGTATGCGGGTGTTATACACTGGTTGCCCAAAAATGGAATATCAGATTTCTTGGAAAATGTGACTTTAAGATATATATTGTTATATCGCTTGCGGAACAAGACATTGAATGGGCACCTCAAGTGCATCATAGCCGAAAAATGTCATAAGAAAATATTGCCAGTTGAAGTTCCTAGGTTTTGCCGAGTGCCTGTGTATCACATATCAGACTGATATTTTTTACGGTTAATAATATTGGTATTGATAGCGAAAGCGGCATAATATCTCCTATCTCATTGTTTCCTTCTTAATTTCACCCATTGCACCCATTTAGTCATAAAAGCTATTGGATTTGTTTCATATTTTGATGAAGTCAATGGGCGTAGATATGGTGCCTATTTACTTGAATCGGCGTCAACGTAGCAGAACTCTGTAACGGCAGCTGAATTATCAACATGTATGCAGCAACAAAGCAAAGAATAATGTAATAACTTAGTGATTTGGGTAAATTCCAAGGCCGCGGCTAGGTCTTTAGCCACTGTAATTCAAGACAAATGGCAATTAACTGCTCCGCGACAGCATCAAATTGGAAAAATATAAGGAAATTTTGACAATAATTTTGTTTGCATTTCTTGATCTTGGTTTAATTTGAGCGCGAACCAGCATTTCATAACATACCTGTTGATTAATTCCCCTTAAATCCCAGGACATAAGTTGATAACTAGAGGAAAGCATTCCTCAACAACGATGGAATAACATATTGACGGACAATGAAAAAGGATGGCTGACTGCCGCTGTAGCATAAAACGGGATCGCTTTAAATAAAAAGTTCCGTCGCAAATGCTTTTCTCACATATCTTACCCAATTCATGCCGGTTGTGCAGCACGATTTGTACTTATGTGATGTCCACTGAAATCTTGTTAGGGGATACATATTTGAATTAAGTTATATTTTCATGACACATAGAAGCATAGACCATCATATTAAACACATTCTTCCCTCACAATTATTTTACAGACAATTTCACAAAAACATACAGCTTCCAGAAAGAAACGATGCCAGATTTGAAATCCGCACGCATATATTATATAAGATCAAATGTCCGTTTCTTTGTAGTGAAAAGTAACTGTATATTGATCTTGCGAAAATTAGCTAAAATATGTGAAAATGCATTTTATGGTAGATTTCACTGTAAATAACTTGCAGAAAAAAGCAAATGTCAGCATTGAAGTAACAATGCTCAAAGTACAAGAGAAACATTGTTACTTTTCTTGTAAAAAATACACTTTGCGCAGTGTAATTCACGTTAGCATAAACGAGTGATCACGGTGTAAGAGAATTCACTGGCTCCGCTTTTTGTTCGAACTAGCTGGTCCCGGGAAATGCATTAATATGGCATACTATCTTGCTTCCTTACAAATTTATGCTTGCCTGCTTTTCATCGGGGCAAAATTTATCCATACCTAAAGTTAATTTCCTTGGTTTTAACAGTAGATTTATTGACGGCAAATGAAGCGTGCCTTATGTAATGTTAAAGTGTTTCTGACATCATAAGCTTTTCGTATCGAATTACGCTATTGTTTTCAATTTGCTCCTCGAGCAGGCAAACAGTTAGCTATTTTCATACATAACGTTTGTTTGCTATTGATTTAAAATAATTTAGCAGCCTAGCGCATTAAATGTAAAAAGGTACTTTTTGATCTATATATATATATTTCCAGTTAACAACAGAATGTGTGTGTCGACCTCACTGTTATTTAACTGCATGCCGTAAACGATGAGGAAAGAGGAACCATTTTTCGAGTTTGTTGTTGTGGTTGATTGTTGTAATTGAATTCAGCTCTGCAATATTCAGGGATGCCGTTTTTATTACGTGTCCGGTTTGATAAAATTACTCTTCTATATATTTCTTAAGGGGATTAGAGATTCTAACTACATCTGCATGCACCTTGTTATTTTAGCTTTCAACACTGTTGTATCAGACAAATGGAATGCCTGCGTGTCATTTGACCTTCTAACTTTAAAGTTAGTGTCATTATGAAACTAAATATAATTGCTCAGGAACTAATTTAGAATATCATAAATTTACCGCAATAGTCGGCTGCAATCATTTCGCACACTGTTACCTAATACTGTACGGCGGATGCTTATTGAAGGATGCGCATTGTGATTGGAGTTCCCTTAATATATGGATATCTAGTATTGCTCAAAATAAGCTAGTCTGCTTCATACAGTACGGGTGAATTTTCCCAAGAGGTCAGTGTTATAGACCGCACCACGTTGTCTTAAATACCTAAAAATTTCGCTCTATTTCATGCAAACTTTATTGACGTTTATGTAATGTGGCTAGCATATGTGTTCTAGACAAGGAATTTTGTTTAAACTTCACTTGACTCGTATGCATGCGTGAGAATTAGCCAAGGATCCGTAAATAAAATAAACACATCTTTTGGATGAATTCCTAATACCATGCCAACCAACATGCTAATCCCTAATTAAGACTTTTCTGAATAGCAACAATATAGGTAATACCATGGCGCTGAAAAAATTTTGCCATCGGTGATTACAGAAGAGACGTGAAGGCCACAAAATCGGCTCATGGTAAACTTCACATTATATTTAAAGAAATGGGGATCGTGTGGGACACTTAGGTAAATGTGGTGAATTGACCACAATGGGACGTATTAGATTGAGCTGGGAAGAAGTTTCGCACAATCATAACACTTAACGCAATAGTAATTTGTGCATAAAATTAGCATCAAATTATTCACCACACTGCTTATCCGAATAATTCGAGCTTCATATTTGAGATCGAAATTTCTACCGTAATATAAATGCCGCCCCTGTCACAAGCCGCTCAGAGCCTTAAACACCCCCCCTATACTATGACACTGACTTGATAACATTTTACAACGCACAGTATGTTTGTGCGTAAATAGAAAAGTCTTTTCAGCGTAAACTGCTAACTTGTTTTAAATTCCCTGTAATTCAATCTTGTTGTAGATTTCAGACGAATAGAACCAAAAAGGTACACGGAGTAGAAAAAAGGTGCAAAACATTTGTTATTAGTATACTATACAACAACTGTTGGTATACTATTCCTTCTGTGATATATGCAACCTAATAGGCAAATAGATTCAAAAACATGATTAAGACCTTGTGGACGAATAGTTACCTATTACAACTCAATTGCTATAAATACACTACATCTAAAGCCGTAGATTCAACTGCTCATAACAATGTTTTATGCATTAGCAGCAAGTATCCTTATTAAGCACAAGATTAAAAAGACGAAATAAATTTACACATGCAACATTTGACTGCTGGCTTGACAGATTTCATTTTGTAACTTACATAAATTATATATTATATAAAACTGGAAGGGTACACCCCGAGTACAAGTCAAACAACATAGTTTAAGCATAATTTAAACTTGTAAACCAGAAGTATTTGTGCTTATTTCTGCCAAGTCGTTGTTCTATGCTAACCAGTTTTGTTGTACCGCTTAATTTGAAAATAATTTTTTTACCTTGGATTCCGTTAAAGTTATTCTAATTCAATACAACGTACGAGACTGTAAGTTGTACTAAAATTTCGCGTTTATTCGAAAAGCAGTGAATGTACCTGATTGGACGCTAGACGCTCAGTCGTCTTGGCAGGAGCATGGGGTGATTGGTTAAATGCATTCGAGTGAAAAAGTTGTCGGAGTTAGCTAAAGCGTTTTAGTTGAACGGACAGGTTTCGACAGCTGTCCTCCAAAGCAACCATTATGTAGAAGAAGGATTTCTGTGTCTGCTAATGGAAATGAAATGCGCATGCAATTATAGATAAGCTACCAAAAGGTCTTTGGCAATCACCTTTTGTGATGCAATAGTGCCAATGCTTATTGACTTTTTGTACCTCAGTAAGTAACCTTTAGATAACTTGTGATTCCATTTGTATGTTGTTTTGAATTTGCTCTGTCGTTGGTAAAAATATTTCAAATTTTTTCATAATGACTTTCGGAAAATCTTCTCTTTAGAGCCTTTTATATTTTTATAACTATGTTATTGCATATTTTTGTATATTAGGTAATTAATTATGATATCTATAATTAGATGTTTTAGCATACATTTAAGGTTGTTGCTTTGTGTTAAAACTGAAATTTTACTAAACATGAAAGAATAAAGATAGCTTACGAGAACACATAAATGAAGATTGATCAAATAGTTAGGCAACGCTTTTGTCAATTAACTGGACCCTTTAGAAAAACGCAGTGCAAATATTTTCATCTTCCCGGGAGAGTGCCTAGTTTACTGCTTACAAAATCGCGCATTTATGATCTGGGTTTGACTGTTTCACAGTTACACAAGCATGCGAATATAAGTATATATTCAACTAGTAAATTAAACATGTTTAAGATACAAGCATCAAAATACTTTATTAGCCGTATTTCAGACCAGTATAAAGCGGATGGAAAATAACCAGAATCACCGGTGTCGCACAGAAAACAAACTCATTTTCACAAGAAAATATAACGGAGAGCATAAATATATACATGTTTATGCATTTATGGATTTTAAATGTAATGTCCCAAACTGTTAAAATGCCGTTGTAACTATCAAAAGTGAACGAACTGAACTTATTTTTTTAAATACCATGTTTACTGATAAGTTGACACATTAAGAAAACGGTGCTGTATATGTTAACATTTTGATTCTTAAAGGAAAATCATGACGAGCGTGCTGTCTGTCATTTTGCCAATTTTAAAGGAATTTTGCTTTTGGTATTTAAACGGCATCCATTTGATGACAACATAATTGCAACGATGGTGATCTTGATAATATTTGTTGCAAAATGGAGCGCTTTGTTTGAAGCTGAACGGCGTTTACTTATTAATGGAGAAAGTGTAACTGGTTCAAACTAACAATTGACCCAAAATGTCTTCACTAAATTGTGAGCTGCAGCTCGCCACACTACTAGTAAGCTGAATGCGAAGTAAATGACAAAAAATTGAGATATAATCAGCTGTTAACATGCTGCATTAACAAAAGGTATCGTGCTAATATCTTCTCACTTTTATTTGCCAGGGTTTCGATTAGGTTATGGAAGAACTTTTGTTGGTTATTCTTTATAAACACATAATACTTAGTGTATCAAATTTATGAATGTGTAACAGGTTATAGTAAATATCTAAAATAAGATTAACTATCAACCTTGGGTCTTTGTTTATTCAGGAAAGTAATTTCTTCTAGATTCGTTGAAATAGATTTTTAAATTTATGCCAGAAGGCTTTCCGTTGCTCTGGATGACGTGCTAGTCAAAAGCGCGTACTTTTTGGTTAATAGCAACAGGGAAACCATCAAATCAGCTTCATATTTATAATCAACCACCTTTGATAATTTTAAACTTGGTGCTTATAATTATATGGTGCCATCCGTTTCTATATCTGATCAAGTGTATCCATCAAGCCACCTTGTGCTCATTTGGAATTGGGCGAACATAACCCGATTTTACACACACTGTAGTTATAGAAACGAGTAAGCCAGAAAGTATGTCAATGATTCAGAAAGGAATACTTGCAAACATAAGAGCATATAAAATTCTACTTAATTTACTAGCTTCAATCACTTTCAACAGCCTGTCGCATACTGCATGAACTTTTCGTTATTCTACTGCGGTTTAAACTTTGTCCAAAAGAGAATGCAACATCTAAAATTAACAAATACTAATCTAAACAAATAAATAAATATTGTATGTGCAACAAATCGGCTCCACGCATTTTATGTCGGTTGCTCAAAGTTTTGTAGCAATTGGTTGTAACATTTCTAAAGTGTTCCTCAAAACATTTTTAAAGTGAGATAGGAGGAGCATTGCTTTTTCCATCAATCCGGACAAAACGATCGAGTTTCATTCAATCAACCTAATTGGTGTGCATCCAACAAAACCAAACCTGTCAATGCGATTTTTGCTGACTCCCCACAGGTATTTACTTTGTGCCTACCACTGCAGTTAAGAAAATGATTTCAAGCAATCGACTTAAACTAACTTGGAAAAATGAGCAAACACTGTAAGTATTGGAAATACGACAGTACCGAGTAGAGACAACATGCTCTCCTGGTAAGCAAATAGTTAGCTTATCCACAACCAATGCTAACAACAAGTGACATGTGAGGTCGTAATTTCTGAAAGCATAGCTTACTTACTTATTGCCAGTGTGAAAGTGGGTGATTTAGTTCCTCCGTAATGTCTAGATGTCATGTCTAATATTCCTAGTTTTACCTAATGGTTAAACCGGAAACCTATTAAAACAGTAAAACCTTAATTTCCATCTGCTAAATAATTTCTAGCAGCCTTCATCCTAATAGTTTTCCACACTAAACTTCTTCACATAAGAGTATACTAAAATTTTGCGAAACGTAAATTAAGCAAGATCATTTGCTTACCAGGAAGAAAGCGTTAATATTCTATGCACTAAATAACTAATTTTATGCACACGCGGCGATTGATGCTTAAATATATTCCAGCTTATGGAAGAAATAACGTTCAAGTCAACCTGTTTCGACCAATAGATTCAAAATCCTAATACAGTATGTTGAGCGTAACTAGAAAACACAAATTTATTTTATCTCTATCAAAATATAATCAGACATAGGTGTGCAGTTTTGTGTCCCCATTTTGCATGTTAGCTTACGCGGATTTCAGAGGTGCATTTTGCACATTTGTTACTACAAACCTGTCAGTATTGCTAAACTCCAACTCGTCGAAGAGATCACGGCGAAAACTAAACAGCTTTACTTTCTGATAAATCTTCATTTCTTTGGCTTGAATTAACTGGTCAATAACCTTTATCACATTTTCCTCCGAATATTTTACAACGTTTTGGAAGGCAGTCGGATGAATTCACTACATTTACCAAGGAGGCAAGAAAACGATCAAATGGAAGTAGCTCGGGAAACCACCTCATCTAAAATTAACTCTATTCTATCCGTGGTTTAATCCAGCTTTCTTACTCATAAAGTAACGTTTTAACAATAACTCTTATAATTTTCCAGGGAAATTAAATCAAATAGATATACTGCGTTAGTTATTTGCGCGCTCCTGATTCTGCTCTGGAAATTTTCCTCTGCGTGTGGATAGTTGACGTAAGCGAAAACTAAAATGACGCAAAACAAACAGAGGATTCTCACTTCATGAATTTATTTAGGCTAAACCGGATTAGATGTTAACTTTATTTTGATTGAGATAATACGATCAAATCTGACGAGTTTTCCCTGCCTTAATGCACGGATTTGGATTAATAGGCATTGTATTATCCGTAAGTTGCATTGTAAATAGGTTGGTTGGAGTATGCTCAAAGTTAGTGAGGATGCAGTGAAACTTAGTTAACTCATCTGCCTCGGTAAAGGTGACGCTGAGCAAGACTTACCTAGATAGGTGACTTTTCCTAGCCAGAACAGGCCGAAGCTAATGAAGTCTTGATCTGAGCAGGTTGACTAATGTGGATTCAGCTGACACATAACACAGATATGCCGTCATCGAGCTAAAACGGTGAATCGGTAACAGAAAAGCAAAGGTTCATAATTTAATTTTTTGAGTGGTTACAAAGGAAGGCAGTTTTAGAATAATCGGCCTTTCAATCTTTTAAAGCACACGGGACTCTGTGCTGTGACCAGGGTGAAGCCCCTAAATTATAAACAGTGCTATGGACGAGCATAAGGAACTGTGCCGATTACTTTTGGGACATGCACGTTCGTGGTTAACTATTGAAATACACACACCCAAGAGCTTGAGATTAACGTCTACCCCTGCTTCTCATGGGACTGGCTCACGATCCACCCAGTGGCATCTTGCTACACAGTGGGTGTCCTCTGTGAGGGATAGTTGTGAGCATCTAATGAAGTGACGACAGCCGATGTGAGTAGCTGCAATGGTCGAAACACCAACTAGTAAGCTGCTTGCAGGGGAATTTTAGCAAAATCCTCCTAGCAACTGCTTGTGCGTCGCCCATTTTCTACTCACGAGCGATTTCAATTGCCTTCCGTTACTTTTGTCTGCATATCAACTAGGTCAGCGAAACATATCTGACAACAACAACAACCTTAGGGGCGACGCTCAGCTCTGTCGTGCTTAGAATTTAAGTTAAGAGATATTGGACAACACATGTATGAGATAACAGGTTAAATGTAGTAGCAGAAATTGACCAGTTAATTCACAATAGAAAAGTTAAGCTGTCGCTTCAGCATTCCCATGCACTGGAGTAAGCTTACAACTACTGATCAACGCAAGTCAACTACCGAAATCGAGCCGAGTGCATTGGTCTTAGCTGCCTGCTAGATAAAATGATGGAGTAAATTAACCGTTTAAACGGTTGGCGACATTGTTTTTAGGAATGCGGACGGGTCGAGGCAACTTGGTTTGAAAACACTATAGTACACTGGCTCCACGGCGATACAGCGTATATTAAATATCCAGAATATTTGTATTGGTCGAAGGCCACAATAAGAAAAATAGTAAATGAATTATATAAAATAAGCATGCGTCAGCATTAGCGATGCACTTCGCTACCTTGTTTACAGGGACCAAATGTTTGCACAGAGTTCGAGGTGTACTGCGAAGGCCGAACTCGTCAGTTCGAATTTCATTGCCAAATATTTGGGTTAACAACTGATTATTATGTCCCTATCGAGCATCGTCACATTGGTCATGACTGCATTGTCAAAATATTAAATGCAGAACGACTGGAAATGGTAGGTGATAAAGCGCATTACGAATTGCGGCGGCCTCTAATAAAGTGGACAAAAATATGTGAATGATACCCGTTTTTGTCAAGGTTGCTAAAACATTAAAAGGAAGCTCTTGAAAAAACTTATCTAGCTGCAAATTCTTTGACGTTAGCATAGCACCCGTTCTTGTCAGATCATT